ATATAATTACAGAGTAGTAATTGTGTCTGCACGCCACTGAAAAAAAAATTGGCGGAGGAAAATTTATCACGAAGTAATTGCAGGTGACGTCATGATAATCATAGAGCTGTCCTACCAATGAAAGGCTGACCCACCGATAGAAAGCACTCTTGTCGCCAATTTTTTTTCAGTGGCGTGCAGACACACTTACTACTCTGTAATTACATGCATTTCCAGACACATGTTGTCATAAACTTTTTTCTTCTCTCTACATGAGCAGTCCTTTCCTGAAGTCTTGCCTTCGAGTTGTGAAACACCCTGTATATATATTTACTTACTTACTTACTTACTTACTTATGGAGCTGAGCTTTTCTTGAGGAGAAGCCAAATCTGCAGCTACTCAAGAATTTCTCAGCATTTTATGGAACCAGAAGGTCATTACCGTGTTCACAAGAGCCCTCCACTGGTCCCTATCCTGAGCCAGACCAATCCAATCCATACAATCCCATCCTCTCTCTCTCTAAGATCCATTTTAATATTGTTCAACCACTTACTCCTTGGTCTTCCCAGTGGTATCTTTCCTTCTAGCTTTCATCTTTCATTGTCCTGTAATCGCCGTAAATATTTTTACTCAAGTGTTTTTCAGTATACGCAAGGGTTGCATTCTTGAATACCGCCGTGGATGTCGAAAACGCGTAAAACGAGACACACACCGAACAACCATGGCCATCAAGAAAATGTCCGACTCAAAATGGTGGGACGCGACATAGAAATTGCGCGCGCAACTCAACCGGCATGAACAGAAGTTCCTTCCGTGCCCACGGATAGAATATATTTGCTTTACATGGCACTGCAAGTAAATCACGGATATATGAAGATCTGTATAACAAAGCGCAAATAATGACAGTCACCTGTAATAAAATTAGAGCAAATGAAACATGAAATTTTTCACTGAGAATGAAATTGGTGTCAGAACATAGACGAAATCTTACAGACGAGAACTGGATGCAGCATCCATCATCAGGTTGTATCCTTGTCTGTATTTCTTGAATTATCTTCATAGTTTCTTGACGTGCAGAAGCCATGACGTCACTGAACTTATAAGCGCCACTGGAACAAGGTAAAATGCCTTCAGAGAAGAACAAACTGTTTCCACAACATATATTATTCATTCATTCATTATTGGAGGGGGTGGGTTTCCCCATGCACCGCGACCAGTTGTTGATCTATTGTACTTCCCCCTTTGATATTCTACCAGTCGTCATACCCTTCCGGTACTGGTGCTCGCTATCAACCCCGTTCAGACAGCGAGTTCGGCCCCTCTACTGGCAGTGGTACCCGATACTTCCCCATCTACCGGAGGCATTGGAAACTACTTGGGCCGGAAACTTTTTACCTAATTTTGCTCAGAGGTCTCCTAGAGACATGAGGATTTTTACGTGCCGTTGCGAAGAATGTATCTGGAAATATCGTGCATTGGAACAGATTTCCGCTATAGTATGAGTATATACTTGGTATAGTAACCACAATCTTACTAGTATATGTAGATAGTAACACAGTACCATGGCCGCGCCATAGCTCAAGCGGTTAGTCGCTGGCTTCCCACCGCGGCGGCCCGGGTTCGATCCCGAGGTCTGGTCAAGTGGGATTTGTGGTGGACAAAGTGGCGCTGGGGCAGGATTTCTCCGAGTACTTCGGTTTCCCCTGCCAATCTTCATTCCACCAATTGCTCCACAATCACCCTCACCTATCATCTGGGGCTGGTACAATAGGCCAGAAGTGGCCGCAGTACAAGGGACTTAGTCCAACCCCACTAGCAATAAAAAACACATAGTACCATCAAACAGGTAGGTCTAATAGACACAAGCTAGTCTTACTGAGAATTTTTCATGATTTTCTTCAGTTCATCATAAATACGTTGATCTATCTCGGTTAAGCTATTACCGCTTCCTTGCAAATCCTTTCGGATTCATCAGTCATTCTACCATTCGACGCTATATACTCGTAGTAACGATACTGACAGCGTCAAGTTCATAACTGCCTTCACGCAGAGGTTTAAACTTACGTAAATGCACATTCCGGAAACTGACATGGCCATGAAAGATACTTTCCTTTGATATTTGAAATCATATCTAAGTTTAATATATTCCTGCTTATTTCAGAATATTTATATGACTTTACAATTCACGTAATTTTATCTGAACTCACAAATTGCAAACAATAGGCTTCCACTGGAACAAAAGACTGTTCCCTTGTTTATAACATACTGCGATTATCAACGTTTAAACCATTACGGGAATCCCATGATAATTTTTGGAATGAAAAATGCGAACACGTGATCGACATAACCTCACAATTATTACTACACACTATGTACTAACCATGAAGAATGCGTTAAAAGAATATAGTTCCTTGTTTAGTGTTTATGTTCAACACATACCGGTACTGTTTCTCGCTCATGAGGATCAGTGCTTTGAGTGCTGGAGCCTTAGAGCTCTTCAGTTCGATCCCGGACTCCGGGCACTTGTCCAGTTCAGGGATTACAGTACGCACAATCTGGTAGCAGCTGTTTGTCTTGTAGAACTCTGAACAGATGAGCGCCTTAACGCCCACTTTATTGAGACTACTCAGCAGCTGTGGGCCCTGGTAGGCGGGGTCAATTTGCACCTGCGACATGTTATAATCTTTACAAATCTTTTCATTATCTGGTAGCAGGTGTTGATCTTATAGAAATGTACAATAGGTTATTGGTTATTTCTAATTCCGAGTGTTTTCATCCATAGTGGTTCTGTTGAAAATCAAAAGAAACGCGCCAGGACATTACAAACCGCAATATTCCAGTATCTAAAATTGTATTCATTGTGCCACAGTATCTAATAATATAAAAAGAAAGTTATCCATGTAACAGACCGTGGAGCCCCATAGGGTTGTGAGACGTCGAGGCTCCCACATTTTCTAGACAGTCGGCTCAATGATTTCTGCTAGAGGCTGATCGAAATCAGGGCCATGCAACAGCTGGAAGAATTATGTCTGTTGCAAGATTCCACCTTATTGGGATTCGAACCCGCGATCTTCAGGTTGTAACATAGTGCCTCAGTCAACTACTCTATTGGGGGCCCCATCTAATAATCAAGAAATTAATACTTACCGCTATAAGCCCTGCTCTACCTGAGGCGAATCTGGAGATGAACCATTCGCTAGAGTTAGGGCCCCAGATTGCAAGTCGGTCTCCGGGGCTGAGACCCAGCTGCAGGAGCCCTGCGGCAAGGCGATCGGCCTGAAACCGACAAAGACTGGTTGAACCGTAGAGAAAGAGACTGCAATAAGATAAACGGATGTGAGAGCAACTGACTGAAGTTACAGATTCAGAATGTAGGTGTCTCCACAGAGCATGCGTCGCCGGGTTTGAATCGAGTGTTTTGTTGCATTCCTTTCAACATTTCTGCAAATATTGCAGTTGCCATCTTCAGGATCAATATAATGGGCAGGTAAAATAACGTTCCCAAGAACTGCCGCAGGAAAAGGAGGAAGTACTCAGTTATATTTCTAACACAGACTGAATTTTCGAATTTGGACTGAAGACAAAAGAAAAGAGGATTGTGTCAGTCTTACCAGTAACGTTCTCTGTACGTGTATTTACTAATTTTGATGATTTTAAATAACTGATTGTATAATTTGCGGGTGATTTTGTCTAAAGATTATCAAGAGTGAGTCATCTTCAGCTAGTGAAATAGATTTTTAAATCATCGTGAGAAAACCTGCCAAATTTTCTTTTCAACATACAATGGGAACCAATATCGATATATTGAAAATTTAGTTGAACACAGGGATTTTTATTCGGTAACGTTGGCTATTCACTCTATGACGTACAGTCAGAGATATTTTAGTCAGAGATAATTCTTACTGAAAACATGACTGTCGCTCCTTACCTCGTCACGTGCTTCCCTGAAGGTGATACGATGTCCTTGGTATAGAGACACGAACGCTTCTTTGTCCCCCCAGCGTGCACCTGCGATGTCTATCATTCGTCCCAGTGTGAGAGGGGACAGGGGTTTTGAACCACATTGGTACCAATAGCTAAGCTTCTCCATGTCACATTCCCTGCAAGTACAATAAACATTATCAATTTTTATTAAAGACAGAGTAAAGGTGCTTCTGTGCTTAATAAAACAGGTCTTAAAGGTACTGGGGAGTGGAGTATAACTCCATGTATTTTTAACCTCGACAATAGAAAGATATGAGTGATCAAATTCACGCTCCGGCCGCTGTGACCACTTCGAAAGTGCCTCAGGCTGAATGGAAACAGGAGCCGGTCTCGACGCAGCGGAAAAGAAAACAATTTTTGCTCCTGCTGGGAATCGAACACCAATTCTCCGACCCTCCATATCGTAGGTTAATTATTATGCTGCCTGAGTTATTACAACATATTTATTTGAAATTAACCGATCAAAATATTAATAATAATGAGGTAAACCCATGAGATAGCTCTGCTTACAAGCGTTTTGTAATGTGATGATTTGTTTGTGGAACAAAATTTATTTGTCTCTTATGATATTTAACGATGATGTTTCAACATACAACTATTGTATGACGTCGAATGATACGAGACAGTAATCAATGCTTTGGATATTCAAGGTCATGGAAAAAAAACAGCCGTGATTTCAACGTACTGTTACATTATTCTCCTCGAAAATTTGAGGAAAACCACGTATATCCTTATTCAGTATATCGGGTAATCTGTTAGAGGTTCTAATATTACAGTAGGGTCCCCAATCTTCCCGTTTTACTCGGGACAGACCCGATTTTTATATAAAGTCCCGCTTTTTAAGGGTTCTTCTGTATAATTAATTTATATCGACAACAGCTGGGAAACGGATGCTATTTTCTGCAATTGGAATTTCCATAACGATATTAACACTCCTGGTTGCTAGTCCACAAAACAAAATTTAAGAAATTAATGTTTTCTTTGTTGGCAATATATTTTTATTTATGTTGGTAGTATCTTGATTTTAGTCCATAATGGAAGTTTATTCTCTGCATTCTTTGTCGACCGTTGCGTTGTGTTGTGACAGCCTGTGAGAATTTATCGGTTTTCATCCGCATAATGACGCCAAGACGCAAGTGCGGTCTCAAGTATCGTGTTACTTTTTCACTTGAAATTGTACAGTCAAAGACATACAGACGAGCTGTATCATAATGATAAATTGAAGGAGTACTTACAGAGAGGATCAGACAGTTCGAAACATATAGGGACACAGCAGGAATAAGGGACAGGTGACTACACATAAAATATTTTGTTATTCCAACAGCACAAAACCGTCATAAAACCACTTAAAAAATTTGGTTATATTTCCTTTCCGGTATAACTCCAACCGGAAGGCTAATTGGATTGGATTGGTTATATCTTATGCGGTAACTGCCTTCTAAAAGAAGTTATTGAAGGAAAGATAGAGGGGCGGATGGAAATGACCAGAAGACGAGGAAGAAGACGTAAGAAGATGCTGGATGACCTTGGGGACAGAAGAGGATATTTTCATTTGAAGGAGAAAGCTCTAGATCGCATCAAGTGGAGGAACTGTTTTGGAAGAGACTGTGGACCTGTCGTCTTGACAGATTACTGATGAATGAATGAATAAATCCAACACTGTGACACGTAGACCCACTTCTAGGAAACGAGTTGAAGGAACACGTCTCCTAGGATAAGAAAATGGAAGTTGTAGACTCCTGAAAACCACTACGTTTCCGTGGAATCAGCAGGAGTGTCCATGGATACGGGCATTCAACAAACATTTCCTCAGACCCCGCTATGCTATATAAGCGACCATTCAGGTAAGAACTAAGAGATTCGTAAATCATAAGTTTCTTTATTGCTAGTGGGGTGGGACTAAGTCCCTTGTACTGCGGCCACTTCTGGCCTATTGTACCAACCCCAGATGATAGGTGAGGGTGATTGTGGAGCAATTGGTGGAATGAAGATTGGCAGGGGAAACCGAAGTACTCGGAGAAACCCTGCCCCAGCGCCATTTTGCTCACCACAAATCCCACTTGACCAGACCAGGGATTGAACCCAGGCCGCCGAGGTGGGAAGCCAGCGACTAACCGCTTGAGCTATGGCGCGGCCCTATTCGTAAGGTAACCCTGAACCAAGTCAGTCACAGTAGAAGACAGAAGATAGGAGAAGGCAGTAGAAGAGAAGGCACTCGTAGTCCAGCCAGAAGCCTTAGGCAGTCCTTGACTGTGTAATTCATTAAGAGAGACCGTAAAAAAGGCGAAAATAAATCCAATCATTGAATCCAGAATACGTCATTATGAGTCACGAAACCATAAAATAAAATAAAATAAAATTACTGGTCGTGAGACTCAAGGGACTTGTCGCCAAGACGAACTGAATGGCTGTAAACCGCCAGTCATAAAGTAACTCTGACTCTGACTTTGGAATTTCAGTGCTCAGTTGAAAGTTGAACTGTGAAGAGAAGACTATGAGGATGGCGTGGAATGGCAGCCAGTCTGGAGGTTAGTCACAGAACTGCAGTAAAGTCGTTGTGAGCTGTCGCTGCTAGAAGCTGGTAGCTGAGTTACGGGGATAGTTCGGGAACCCAGAACATGAGAAAAGTCCGCTGTTGTGAGCCGTTACCAGGCAACGGCTAGTGCAGACTCTGATAGACTGAGAACATTAATCTGTGTAACAGTGATCTGTATAGTCACGAATTATATGTATAAGTGGTCAATAAATCGAGTCACCAGTCAAAACTCCGTCTATAGTCACTCATACACATGACACTAATACTGACTTTGAGGATACAACAAGGGATAGTATGGATTGGATTAATCTGGCTTGTGATGTAGTCCAGTGGTGGTTCTTGTGAATGTGTCAATAAAAGTTAAGGTTCCATAAAAATGAGGAAATTTCTGGAATGGCTGTGCAACTAATAATTCCTCAAGAAGGATTCCATGAAATTAATTATTTGAAGCCATTTTGATCAACATTTTAATGGATATTGTGGTACATACCATTAAATATAAACCAAATGAAATAATTTAAAACCATAAATGTAAAAATTCTGTGAGGTACAATGCAAGATATCTTTATGAGCTCCTTCTGTTAAAATGCGAATGTAAAATGAGACGAAGCTATGATTATAATAACATTCTAAAGGTTCTAAGGATGGTGTATAAAACAGAATTACTGGACTCTGAGGACGTTTTTACATCACCCGATATTCTAGAAAGTAGAAAACTCTACGTTTCGGAAACTGGATCTGTTTCCGTCCTCAGGTGATAGAGGGAATGCACCTGTTCAGTTAGGTACCTTAGAAAGAGCTAAGCTCAAACCCCTTTCACTTGAGGACAGAAACAGATCTAGTTCCAAAACGTCGTGTTTTCTACTATCTAAAATACTGGACGATGGAGAAAGTCGCAAAACCCAATAAGTCTTAATATAATAAATTGTTCGTATATTGATTCTAACATGTCAGCATAGAACTAACGCTTAAAATACTGATCATTTTATGACTAAAATAATTTCACTTTCCTGCTGAGAACTGTGTCTTGCAGTAAAACTGGACCTCAGATCTGTGAGTTCTGTGATGGAGATCAATATGGAGATAACGGTTTCCGGATGTGACAACTTGTAGTTAACTATAAACTTACAATTGTTTCGGAGGAAAATATTTTTTCTTTCTTGCTCATAGTACCGTATTTACGCATGTATAGGCCGCGTGCGTGTATAGGCCGCAGCACAATTTTCAGACAGAAATTACAGAAAAAAATAATTTTCATGGAATATTATTTCAGGAGTATAAATTAATTAGTACTAATTATGAATATATATTTTTTAAATGAAGTGTGATTTCGAATATTTCGAATATAAGCCGCACCCCAGTTTTCCTCTTGAATTTTTGGCAAAATATGTGCGGCCTATACATGCGTAAATATGGTAATTGTTAAAGAATGAGGCAACAGAATTTTTCTGAACCTTGATAATGTTCCATCAGAGTACATGGGGTGACATTTCGGAAGACAGCAATCTTCAGCGCTCTATTTATTGTACTTATTGAAGAGAAGTTCTTATTGCAGTTTTCTACAGCATGGAAATGTCTGTAAAGAACGCCGTTTTAACTGTATGAAATTTTATTACTAGTTGTGTCATCTGGTAGGCATCAAAACACTTGTGCTTGGCTGATATTACATAACGCCACAAGGAGAGCCCCATAAAATGAATTGTCAGTCTTAATAACATCAAATCTCAGGTACATAATTTTGTTTCCCCTACAGTTGTGTGGTCTATTAGAGGGCGTATTTTCTTCAATATGTGAAACGTGTATGATAGACTCTGGTTTTAAGCAATTTAAATAAGTTCTACTCATTGGCACTCAGTTCTTGTTAATGTAAATATTTTTGTGTCTGTTCTAATTCTTTGCACACAGTTCTTGTTGTCAGAAACCATTTTGTATCTGTTCTAATGCTTTGCACATCGTTCTTGTTGTCAGAAACCATTTTGTGCCAGTTCTAATGCTTTGCACACAGTTCTTGTTGTCAGAAACCATTTTGTATCTGTTCTAATGCTTTGCACATCGTTCTTGTTGTCAGAAACCATTTTGTGCCAGTTCTAATGCTTTGCACACAGTTCTTGTTGTCAGAAACCATTTTGTATCTGTTCTAATGCTTTGCACACAGTTCTTGTTGTCAGAAACCTTTGCACCTGTTCTAATGCTTTGCACACAGTTCTTGTTGTCAGGAACTATTTTGTGCCAGTTCTTGCTGTAACTGCTGCAGGAGACGAAACTTCTGCACTTTGCCGACCGCTGTTCTCTCGAATTCCTTTACGAACCGGATGTACCGTGGGATTTTGTATTCAGAAACCTGCAAGAAACACGGTCATTCTGGATAGACTATTTGCTGATCGCAATGCAATATGTGGGTCTTTCGTGTTTTACTGCACGAGACTCATTGCCTAAGGCTGAGGTCGATTAGTAAAGGATTTTACGCAGTGTTGAAGGAAACTGCTGTGGCCTTATCGAGGTGCTAGCATGGAGATTAATTGCTGGAATCGAGGGGGGAAAAATATGGAAAACTTCAGTCAGAATGGAAAATCCTTAGCTGATCTTCTGACTGACGCTGATCAGTCTTAGCCATGAAATTTATTTCGAATTTATTCTCGGAAATTTTAAATTCAAAAGTCTTATATTTCGATATTACTGGACCTTTATTGTGATCTATAATATCGTATTTCATTGTCTGGGACCAGACTAAAAATTGTCTATAAATTTTGGTTTTGTGTAATGGCTATCCCTTTAATTTAGATAAAAATCAGAATGATCTTTTCAGACTTAATGAAAATATCTCGTAGAACAGAAAAGTAAATTTGTTAGTATGATTAATTTAGCACCACGCCATAAAATGTGTGAGGGAGTTGAGGTATGTCTCCGCGCATTATTAACCTATGCTCCTGATGGAGATATATGGTCAACTTCACGCCCCAGACGTTTAATCCTAAGAACCCTCGGTGCCCACCGGATATTGAGCTGCGGAGGTCGGCTCTACAGTCGATGCAGAAGACCGTGGCTCTCATTGGTTGGGAGAATGAGTAAAGATAAAAAGGTAAAATTTGTCCCTGTGCTTAACTATTTAAGCACTGCACCATAAAGACGTACGGAGGAGTGGATGTACAGAGCCACGTATTCTTAACCTCAACACTAGTTGGAGGTCAGTTGTCAGTTTCGAGTCCGGGTAAAAACTGTACGTGTATATGAGGTTGGGTGGGCCCCAGAACTGGTCTGGACGACGTGGGGAAAGAAAGTTTTTGCCAATACCAGGACTCGAACTCCAACCCCTCGGCAGTCCAGCCCGTAGCCAGTCGCTATAATGACTGCTCTATTCCGGGTCCCTAGAAGAATGGACGGAGTCAATAATCTGGACGCTGTGAAGAAGAGCATACTCTATTGGCTCTTCTAGACGTCAAAAACCTATTCCTCTGTCATCAAGCATATAGCCTAGTCACTATATTGACTGAGCTATCTTGGCTCTCAGAAATGATTAATGACATACATGAATAATGCATGAGAATTACACCACATTATGGTCTGTATCTTTTCCGTCGGTGACGTTTTTTTGGCTAATCAAAGGCTTGATCTTTCACTCACTCCATTTTGTTTCTTCTCAATTAGAAATGAAGTAGCCAATGGGTAACAAGAGATATCTCTACAGATCAGCAGTTGGTGGTGACGAAACGTCATTCAACTGCCAGAAGAAATGTTATGGCACTTTTTAGGATAAAAGGCCATGTAGTTTTTGAAAGTCAACTGACTTTTTGGAGGTACCTATCAATTTTATCTTCAGGGTCAGAAAGTCTGCTTGTTACCTGCTTCACGCTGGGGTCTTACTTATTGTAGCCTATAGATGGAGGCGATATATTCCTCCGAAACATCAGTTTACTTTCACCGGACTACACGGCGTTATATCCATGAAGATCTTCATAATCACCGCTGGAAGAACCTCAAATCCTTTATGACTAAAAGGGCGGCCGCACACCAACTGCGTCAAGACAAGCATCAAGACATGAGGCAAAAGATGCAGTCTTGCCTCATTCGTGATTCAGACTCGAGTCCGCACACCGAAGTAGCACGTGTCTGCGTCTTATCTCATTTTCTCTAGTTGATATGACGTCATGTCGCTAACGTACACTGGTTCTGTTCCTTGAGTACTGATGTCTGAGTCTTGACGCACAGAAAAGTAACATGCCGAGTCTGCAGCATGAAGCTGACGTCAGCATCATGACTCAGACCGGTGTGCGGCGGTTTTCATAATCTCATTCGTTTCAACTGTGCTCCTTTCTTTGCGTCATGTCGCAGATATCGTGTCTTGACTGTTACATGACTTGCCGGTGAGCGGCCTACCTAATAGAATTGATATACGAGATAAATGAAGAGACACTTACCTTATCTTTGCAGTAATTCCTGACATCCTGCTCTGTGAGGGTTGCTCCATCCCTTAGCCTCAGAAATACACAGATTTCCTCCCCAACTTTTGTGTCCGGTACCCCAAATGCCTGCCAGCAGAGCACTATAACGTTTATATGTAACTACTTCTAGTATATGCTTGAAACTGGGGTTGGGGGCAGTGACCCTAGGCACAGCTGATAAGGGACATCAATCACAGACAAACAATTTCTTAGATTACATGAAAACTTACTACAAGCTGAATGAAAGAACTGAATATTTTAATGTACCCTCACTACAAGAATGAACCGCTGTGATTTTTACATATACTCGTATAAGCCTAAGAAATTGTCTCAGAGCTTAATTAATTAAGCATTATACCATGAATGTATAAGGGGCGTGGAGGTATAGCTCCATCATTCTTAGCCTTGACACTAGATGGAGGTGAGTGGTTAGTTTCACACCCATGCCGTTTACACCCAGTACCTGCTGGATAGGAGACCGTATGTGCCCAAGAAACGGTCAGGATGCTGTAGACAAGAAGACAAAATAATATTGCACTCCCAGGACTTGAACCCGGACTATCCAGCCCATAGCCCATCACTATGCCGACTGAGCTATACCAGCTCAAATGAGGCTATATACAGAATGCCTCTGTTCATGTATTCTTTGTATCACAATAAATTACTTTCAGACGTAAACATATGAGTTTGTTTCTTCCATAATGATGTTGCAAAATATATAAACGCCATGTCACTGAAGGTCATACTAACTCTTATTCAACACACTAACAAATTATAATATAATATTAATATGAAGGATACAGTCTTCTATATTATAATGTGGTGAAACTTGGAAAAAAAACTGAAGAAGGCAGCAGAAGCAGGCGAAAACCCCAGCTCACTTCCTACCTGAGCTTCAAGAATGTCAGGGTGTCCAGCAAAAAATTCTTCTATCTCCACTGGAAAGGTGTTGTCAGAAATCCTGATAATCATGTCTTTCAGTCTTCCAACAATTCGTCCATATCCGTCTTCCTGCAGCACAAACTGGTCCCTGTGTACACATAATACTTCAACTTATAATCTTCAACAACACAAACTCCGTAGCCTGTAGTCTGCAAGCGAACTATACCGAACGAGCGACCGCCGCTTGTTGGCGAAGTTAGTGCCAACTTCTGCGGATAGAGTGTGTCACGTGGACAGCGCAACGAATCCCCACGGCAGTTAATTTCGGGTTTCTAGACCGGAGCCGCTACTTTTCAATTCAAGTAGCTCCTCAATTATCCTCATGAGGCTGAGTGGACCTCGTTCCAGGCCCACTGCTTCTCATAAAATATTATAGCGCCGGGAATCGAACACGGGACCTCTGAATCTGTAGCCAGGAACTCTGATCTCTAGCTCACACAGGCGGTCAATCTTCAACAAGAAGCTTTAAAAAGTTATTACGGACAAATTAAATGAATTTACAATCCAAATTCTATTATGAACTCCAAATGCTAGCATCACAATGGCAGCTTGATGAATTAACCGGTCGTAAGCTTTACCACCCCTTGCGACGAGCTGATCACCCGCCCAAGGAGTCCTACCGTATGTCTAAGATCTAGTAAACCGAAGTGAAACGGAGAGTTTCATGGAGGTAGGCGTAGGCCCAAATGTGGGCTGTAGCGCCAATGAAAAAAAAAAAGCTTTACCACCGCCAAGTTTAAGGCTAATTATGTTTTATTCCTTGATTCGGGACTAAGCATCTCTACTTGTAAGCACTCACCCAGTTTTCGCCCATCCATCAGGACCAATGAACTGACGAGTTTTCTCTTCTTCATTCCAGTATCCTAACATCACGCTGTAACCTCGAACCCAGAGCTCTCCAGGGGTTCCCATGGGAACCATACGTCCTTCCTTGTCAACAACTTTAGCCTAAGAAAATTTGTCAAAAAATTGTTAGATGTTCTCTATGTTATATTTACAGGCAAAATTCTGTGATCAGTTTAACCCTTTAAGCATGAAGATAAAATGGGGAAGGGGGGTAGAAAGAAAATGACGTAACTTATTTACCTGCATGATAGTTATACAGGACCTGAGCTATGCTTATTAGCCTGGGTGTCAAAAAAAAATAATTTTGCAACATGAAGCTCCACTAAATAGTGTCTAGACATGAAATTCTTACCTCATAAGAAACACACTGTATCCCCATTACAAAGATCAATTGGTTAATGCTGTTTAGAAAAATACACAATGTTTATTCCTATAATCATAAGGAACACATAAATAAATTTTTTTAAAAAAGCGCGGAGTGTCTGAATATTAAGTGGTGCATAGATCGCTCTGATTTTTAAGTGTTGGGGTGACACGTTCCTCAGTTAATTTATTTTTATATTGTTTCAAAACAAAATTTTATATCGTTTCTTGTTTCACCATTTCTACTGCATGTGCTGTCCATATCCTGCTTAATAGCCCTCAGATCTAAGTAACGAGGCATGTCATATTCTAGAAATTTGATACACTCTGAGCACATTCTGAGGAAATCTCTTCTTTTCCCTCGGCGTTACGCCTCAGGGTGAACTTTGGCCTTGAGAACAGGCTCCCTACATTCATCTCTGTTCTTCATCTTTCCTTCCCGTCCTTTCACTTTCAACTGTGAGCCGATTGTCTAGAAAATGTGGGAGCCTCGACGTCTCAGAATCTTATGTGCCTCCACGGCCTGTTACAGGAGTAACTTTATCTTATATGATAGGATAGTTGTTTTATTTTATTGCTAGTGGGGTGGGCCTAAGTGCCGTGTACTGCGGCCACTTCTGGCCTACTGTACCAGCCCCAGATGGTAGGTGAGGGTGATTGTGGAGCAATTGGTGGAATGAAGATTGGCAGGGGAAACCGAAGTACTCGGAGAAAACCTGCCCCAGGGCCACTTTGTCCACCACAAATCCCACTTGACCAGACCCGGGATCAACCCCGGGCCGCCGCTGTGGGAAGCCAGCGACTAACCGCTTGAACTATGGCGCTGCATTATATGATAGGATAGTTATAACTCAGAACCAGAACTGAAGAAGACACATATGTGCCGAAACATATCCTAAACAACAAATTACACCTGTTGGAAATAGTGTTGTGTTGACTGGAGTATAATACGAATCTATAGAAATACACATGTAGTCTCTCTGTCCCTTCATTCGTCCTTATGTAAAAGCTAGAGCACAGCTTTACATTTTTACATGAGGATTTTAGCAACCTACCTCACAGTGATCAATGACGTAGCCAACTGTTGCTGTTGTTTGCTGTAAGGTGTCTCCTCTGCGTGAACAGAACACAGCTGCTACCTCTGTCATACCGAAAATTGGCTGCAATGAAGGAAGCGAAGGCTAATGAAATTAACTTCATAAAGCAGAAGACTCTTAGTGAATTCACATTTGCTCAGCTACAAGACAGCATGCAATTTTAGCTTACTTGTTTTATTTTGAAAAAATAAATTTACACTTATGCGACCTCCATGGTGCCTGTGTGTGTTTCTCTGTGTCTGTGACTAATAACTTTTGGATCCCTGAACTAATCTTTATGAAATTATGTATATATATCATGACATCTGAGCCAATCTCAACGGCGTACTTCATAAATCCCCCCCCCCCAATCAGTCTGTGTGTCTATATGCGTGTCTCTCCTATGATTGCTAGGCAAAAGCTCGTTAAAATGTATCTTTCCTTTCATTGCTAGGCAACAGCTCGGTAAACATGTTACCACAGCAACGAATATAAGGGACAATAGAAGAAGTATTGGACATGCGTGTCTCTGAGTCTGTGTATCCCCCTCTCGTTGCTATGTAACACACACAGTAAAGACGTTCCCGTGGACACGAAGAAATGTTAGAGGAGTTTTTTCTATGCGGTCCCTGTCGTATAAGGAAAACATACAATTTGTTCTTCCAAGAACTTGTTTTTTAATTCTGCCACAGTATCATTTTATCCACCACAAATTCCACACAATCTTACCTGGGATCGAACCTGGATTGTTGTGGTAGGAACCTGATAGCTACCGCTTTGACATACATAGCTGATTCAGAGGATTGTATCAAGAAATAGGTTATATCAAGCCAGGAGGTTACGGGTTCGATTTCCAATGTAGTCACTGGATTTTTCAATTGACCTAATTCTTCCAGCCGCACTAGGACCCTGGGGCCGACTCAGCCTCTTACAGAAATGAGTACCAGGAATCTTCCTTGGGGGTAATGAACGGCCTGTCGGCGCGTAAGGCTGACATCACCGCCATCTGTGAACCGATTGTCTATAAAATGTGGGATCCTCGACGTCTCGAACCCTATCGGCCTCGACGGCCTGTTACAGGGATAACTTCAAGTTCTAACCAAGAAACTGACTGGATTCAATTTCCTCTAACTGTCCAGACATTTGTGCAAGTTCCTGAAACCCGATATACTCACGATCAATGTTCTGGCATTCAGCACTTCCTTAATCTGCAGCGCCAGCTCTTGGGAACACGGAGCTGCCCCGTAACTAGCGACCTCAAGCGTCGTGACCTTAAGGCCTAGGTCTTGTGACGTAGATATCAGGTCCAAATACAGGGATGGGGTAGTAAAAATGTGCGTGCACCTGTGAGAACATGGGCCACACACACGTGTACACACACAATGGAAAATGGTCAAAAACGTTATAATTGCTCTCTGCACTGAAGTGAATATAATATTACTGTTTTCTGGTATGCGAGAGGGCTTAATTTGGTAGGCAGATTGCAGCTTTTCGGAGGAACTTCCATTCTGTATCTTCAGGGCAGAAAGACAGAAGAAGAACGTAATTCTGAAACGTTAACAACATACGAAATTAAGCGTTATCATAACCCAGATAACCACCATTTTACGCAGCAATAAATAATAAATACGATTAGGCGTGTATGCAAGAATCACGAAAGACGCTTGTTGAAACTGTGTAGACCTGTAGGCTCCAAGTTTTAGGACTCTGAAATGCCTTTATATTCATACTATTACTTACTTACTTATGGAGCTGAGCCCTTCTGGAGGAACTGCCAATTCTGCAGCTACTCAAGAATTTCCCAGCATTTTCTGGAGCCCAAAGGCTCATTACCGTGTTCACAAGAGCCCTCCACTGGGCCCTATCCTGAGCCAGACAAATCCAATCCATACAATCCCATCCTATCTCTCTAAGAATTATTTTAATATTGTCCACCCACCTACACCTTGGTCTTCCTAGTGGTCTATTTCCTTCTGACTTTTCCACCAATATTCTATATGCATTCCTCTTCTTCCCCTTTCATGCTACATGCCCTGCCCACCTCATCCTCCTTGACTTGATCATTCTAATTATACTTGGAGAAGAGTACAAGTTATGAAGCTCCCCATTATGCAGTTTTCTCCAACCTCCTGTCACCTCATCTCTCTTCGGTCCAAATATTCTCCTCAACACCCTGTTCTAAAACACCCTCAGTCTAATTTACCAAATTTAGGTTACATTCTTATTGCAATGCTTCGCATTCATGTGCATTGTTTTTCAGATTTCTGCTTCTAATGTGGGCTCAGGGACTGCATAATTCTTCTGTTTGTTTCATGATTTTCCTCATTTCCTCCAAGCAAATTATATTAGAAACTTACAATAAGCCACAGCTGCTTCCTTCATAACTGCTGGGATTCATATTCTGGTTATCCCAACATTTGTCATGTGCCTCAAATTTCGCCTTTAAATATATCACAAATTAATCGATACATGCTATTAAATTTCTTTTATAAAACTTACGTGGAATCACGTTTTAATGTTAGCCTTATATTACAGGTTTCAGTTTCAATTTGAGAGGGAATTATATTCAGGTTGTTAACAGATATAAAACAACTTAACATCCTTAACATATGTACTACCTCTCCTGTATGATCCCTTCCAGTATTCTCCTGGCATCGAGCACAGGTGCCGCTATTACTGTGGTGACACCAAAGCTGAGCGTGCAGAAGATGTTCAGTATTGTACCCGAGGTGTGGTAGTACGGTGTACCAGCTATAGTCTTCGCCCCCTGTGTAAGTGATAAGCTTCCAATATACTCTCAAATTAAAAACAAAAGAAAAACTAAACTCTGTGGCTTTTAGTCAGCAAGTGAACTATACCGACCGAGCGACCGCCGCTTGTCGGATAATTTAGTGCCAATTTTAGTGGATAGTTCCTCAATTATCCTCACGAGGCTGAGTGGACCCCGTTCTAGACCCACTACTTATCAGAAAATCTGGTAGCGCCGGGAATCGAATCCGGGACCTCTGGCTCTGTAGCCAGGAACTCTGACCACTAATAAATTCTCAAATGTTGGCATTAAACGAATTCTCATAACCATTGTTTGTTGGAAACTTTCTTTAAGTAACGTCGTATTTTGAGTGGGAAATGTTACAGATGAAGAAGTCCTGTTTGAGGAGCAATTGGTGAACTGAAGATTGGCAGGGAAAACCGAAGTATTCGGAGAGAACACGCCCCAGCGCCACTTTGCCCACCACAAATCCCACTTGACCACACCCGGGATCGAACCCGGGCCGCCGCGTTGGAAAGCCAGCGATTAACCCCTTGAGCTATGGCGCGGCCTTATTTATGATGTAAGAATTTACATTTCTCTTTTATGATCACGAAGCTTCAAAGATGTTTTTTACGTATTCATTTGGATTTGTACAAAGGTTTGTACTGAGTTAGAAAAGTGCTATTATCATCATAATTATCATCATTATTGAGTCATTCCTTCGAGTGTTTTAATAAATTAATTACTTCATTATTTTATGATCCTATATGACCTATTTGGTTATGTGGCGTCAAATTGTGTGTAATGATTGGACTTTAAATGAAAGTATGAACATTGTAGTTGTTGCTTTATTTTTCATGCAAACAGATTCTGTAACGCGAACCACATGATCTGGTCTAACTGTATGTTGGTGGTGTGTGACGTTGATTCATTCATTACACGAATGTTATGTTGGCCATTTTAAATTGTCTGGGGTATAAATTTGACCGCCTCTGTGGTCTAGTGGTCACAGTTCCTGGCTACGGATCTTGAGGTCCCGGCGCTACCAGATTTTCTGAGAAGTACGGGGTCTGGAACGGGGCCCACTCAGCCTCGTGAGGATAATTGAGGAGTTATTTCAAGGAAATAGCGGCTCTGGTCTAGAAAACCGAAATTAACGGCCGTGGGGATCCGTTGCGCTGACCACGCGACACCTAACCGCAAAAGTTCTCACTAACATCGCCGACAAGTTGTGGTCGCTCGGTCGGTATATTTCGCTTGCGGACTCAAGCCACGGAGTTTGTTTTGCTTTTTTTTTGTTTGCTGAGTTATATTTGAAATAAATTACAACTTTCGAATTAGTTCAGTATATATTATTACGGGTCAGAGAGGAAAGGAGAATATTCTATTGAGCTGGAAGTCTCCACTGGTCAATACTTGTCCAAATAAGCAGGACCTTCCCCCTTTTACACCTGATAAAGGACACGGATTCACTTGTCAATAACTCTGTTTATACCATACTCCTTAGATGATAGACAATAGACAATCTCCAATGTAAAATTAGTAAGTAAGATTTGAGATTTCACAGCGGTGGCTAAGAAAAATGCCGTCTTCAGGGATATGGAGCCGTGTAGATCTTGTATGAACCGAAGTTTCAGAAGATCGTATCGCCTCCATCTTGAGGGTAGAAAAATCTGAAAACATTATTTTCGATTGGTGGATCAGTCTGCAGCCATCTGCTCACGCTGGCTCCTCGTTCGCGAATTTTTCTACCCTGAAAATGGAAGCGATACGTTCCTCCGAAACGTCGTTCACACAAGATCTACATGCGTGCCACATCCAAGAAAAAACATTCTTCATAATATTAGTAAGTTAAATATGTAAGCATTAGATGAAAAAAAAAAGTATTTTAATACTTGAAGATTTCTATCTTCTGTGATATATGGCCATTTAGCTTGTTTAAAGTCAACCGACGTTTCGGAGAAACATGTCATTTCATTCTTCAATTAGCAGGCAGCTTGGTTACTTATTTCTTCGTGCTGGTTTTTCCTTGGCTTCCTCTTCCCTGAAGAAGGAAGCAAGAACAACTAGCAGGTAGCAAGAAGTGCTTGCTCACTACCAGCTTCATACTGGTTTCTAACTCATCATTCGACCCTGAAGATAGAGGCGACGTGATCCTCCGAAACACTGGTTAATTTTCAACAGAACATAAGACGTTATGGAAGTTTTCATAACCACCTCTGTGAGAACCTTAAATCCTATATTCTATAATTTATCATTAATATTTCGGAAACAACACCGAGAGACGAACCTTTGCGTCCAGACCAATTCGACGTCCAAGCATCATGCTGTTGTTAACGATGTTGTGGTTGCTTAGCAGTGCTCCTTTTGGGGACCCCGTTGTGCCCTACCAGAGAAGCATAAGAGATTAGATTTATTGCTAGTGGGGTGGGACTAAGTCCCTTGTACTGCGGCCACTTCTGGCCTATTGTACAAGTCCCAGATGATAGGTGAGGGTGATTGTAGAGCGATTGGTGGAATGAAGATTGGCAGGGGAAACCGAAGTACTCGGAGAAAACCTGTCCCAGCGCCACTTTGTCCACCACAAATCCCACTTGACCAAACCCGGGATAGAGCCGCCGAAGTGGGAAGCCAGCGACTAACCGCTTGAGCTATGGCGCGGCCATGTTGACCCACAACAAACTTAAATTCACAGAACAGAGATTCTTGACAGAATAAGAGGCGTTCTGCTATTGACAAGATTCCATGCTCTTTATATAAAGCGACTGTTCATCGTCTTGTTCACAAGAGTCCGCCACAGATCAGGCTTATCCATATTTTCACACCGTATTTCTTTAATCCAAATAATTACTATCTTGCCGTTTGTGTATATGTCTATGTGGTTAGGTAATGTATCCGTCAACACAACAAGAAAAGTGGCATTGCCTTTAAATCGATATCACATAAATTGAATTTAACTGCTTACCGCTACGTGTTTCGTTCCTCATGGGATCTTCATCAGGTAGTGTATATAATATATACGATAAAGTTAATTTGAACCGCAATATGAATCCATTTTGTGGTGCAACGCGCCTATGTTATAAAAGTTGCAGACAAATTGTGCCTTGTGTCATGATGAAAAACTAAATTATAAAACAATATTAGAAATATTAGAGTACACAAGAATTTGTATTTAAAATAATAATGGAGGTAATTACAAAATGCATGTTACAAATATAGGATGTTATAATAAGAATAGAGATATTACACAATTAAAGTATGTAGCACGAATGGGGGAGACGAGGAATGCGTATAGGATATTGGTGTTAAAGACAGAAGGAAAGAGACCACAGGGAAGACCAAGGCGTAGGTGGGTGGACAATATTAGAATGGATCTTAGAGAAATAGGCTGGGATGGTATGGATTAGATAGATCTGGCTCAGGATAGGGACCAGTGGAGGGCTCTTGTGAACACGATAATGAACCTTCTGGTTCCATAAAATGCTGTGAAATTCTTGAGTAGCTGCAGAATTGGCGGCTCCTCAAGAAGGGCTGAACTCCATGAGTAAGTAAGTAAGTAAGTAAAAATATTAAAGCTTTCAAAATATATATATATATATATGGAGTTGAAAGTTCCTATATGTGTTAGATCATTTAAATCCACTTGGTTTTAACCTCTCATGATATGGTTGTCTTCCAAAATTCGCTTCTGATTTTGACAAGAAAATGATATAAGAATTTCTCTACTCTCACTGCTATTGAAGCACTGGACTATGCAGCTCTAGTTACTGACAGCATTGTTAAATAACCTGAATAATAAATAAATTACAATGATTATAGTTGCTGAGTTGAATTCTGCGTCATCTGTAAAATAACCAAAATTGTACTACATCTCCTGGTATGTGATGCCATGTACTTTGGTAAGAGATACCAACTTTTGAGAGTAACATGTTCAGTCTTTTCTCAGTTTTCAACACATTTCTTTAACCCTGTGTGTGAAACATCTCTGACGGTAGATCGTATCACCAGTTCGCAACCTTCCGGGGAAAAAAGTCCTCTGTGTTAAATGGAATCTCTGATATGGGGATTTCGAGCCCCACCTTATGATGAAAAGATAATCTAATAATTTTCAAACGATGACGCAATGACGTCTGATGACGACCTAATCTCAAAGATGTTTCAGACAGAGGACACTATTGTTGCAGTGTGGGAGTATCTTTCGTATGAATCCAGCAACCACTGACTATAGGATTTTCCTGAAATCTTACAGATGAAAACTGGATAGCGCATCCTTCATCAGGTTGTATTTTCGTCTGTAATTCTTGAATTATCCTTATAGTTTCTGGACGTGCAGATGCCATAATATCACTGAGTCTGTATGCTCCTCTGAAATGAATAGAATTCAGTTTTAGAATACAGGAAATACGTGTAAATTAGTAAGAGGGCATTGTATACATTTTGTGTAGTGTGTCCTTCATTGTTTGTGTAGTTTTGTGTACTCTGTTTTGTTTGAGTGTGGTTTGTTATTTTGTGTGATGTGTGTTATTTGTGTGTTGTGTCTTGTATCACTGCCACCGGGTAAAAGACCAATTGCAGTTTAAATAAATAAAAAATAACTTGACTAATCGTCGTGAAATAAAGGATGGAATGCTACTACTCTCACGTGTGTTAATAAACATAACCTAGAAGCAGCGCTACATTTTATTGGATTGAAACATGTGGTACATATCCATTTAATTTATTTATATGAACTGAGCCGTATAATAATCCTTTCATACCCTCTTTTCCCAGGGTCGTTCCGGTCCTCAAATTAATTTAGTTAAATTTAGTGTCATTTAATTTATATAATTTTTATTTTCTTATTCTCTAAATGCTTCAAATTCGAAATCTTACTTACTCTATTTTCCAGTTTAGATTTAAGTAAACATTTTCTCATATCTCTAAAATAACGTTTGTTAGTACAAATTAATTTTCATCTATAAGGTAATTTCTCATTAAATTCTAAACACTTCTTATATAAATCTTCTTCTCCCCACTTTGTCCTCTGAATAAAATTTTGTAACATATGCACCCCAATCTTCCTTTCCTCGATGCTAGAATAATTTTATTTTATTCTTTAATTTCTTGGGGTGGGGTGAGACTGAGTCCACTTGGTACGTCGGCCACTAATTGTTCTATTGTACCAGCCCCGGATGATAGATGATGAGTGTGGAGCAGTCGGAGGAATGAGAATTGGCAGGGGAAACCGAAGTACTAGGAATAAAACTGCTTCAGTGCCACTTTCCCCACCATAAACCCCACATGACCTGACCTGGGCTCGAACACGTACCACTACGGTGGAAAGCCGGCGACTAACCGCCTGACCTATGACACGGCCATTTTTCTTTCTTTATTTCTCCTCTATATGTAGTGCTTAAATGCTGAAGCACAGTGACAACTTTACCTACGAATTATAATACAATAATATTGGTTATTTATTACGAATTTGTTGTGTTGATGGTTGTATAATAAAGTAAAGGTAGAGTTGTTCCTGTGCTTAACTAATTAAGCACTACGCCAGAAGGCGTATGGGGGAGTGGCTGTATTGATCCACATTTTCTTGACCTCGGCCCTATTTGGAGGTAAGTGTTCAGCTTCACGCCCCTTCCGCTTTATCCCCAGGGAAAAAGCCTCCTGTACCCATTGGATATGAGGCTGTGTGGACCGGTCTGGACGCTGAGGAGAAGAGAAAGTTCTTGATCCTACCGGGACTTGAATTCCGACCCCTCTGTTGTCCAGCCCATAGCCAGTCGCTATACCGACTGAGCTATCCGGACTTCTGGTTGTATAATAATACTAAATTAATATTTCCTTTACGCCTCACTCATCAAGCAACAAAATGCCTGTACAGGTCTCAGAATCCTGTTTTCTGCATCTGGGATTAGGACTTACCGATACTTTTTCTCGCTCATGAGGATCAGTGCTTTCAGTGATGGAGCTTTAGAGCACCTCAGTTCGATCCCGGACTCCGGGCAGTTGTCCAGTTCAGGGATTACAGTACGCACAATCTGGTAGCAGCTGTTTGTCTTGTAGAACTCTGAACAGATGAGCGCCTTAATGTCCACTTTGTTGAAGCTGTGCAGCAGCTGAGGCCCCTGGTACGCAGGGTCCATTAGTACCTACGGCACGTTAATATTGTTACAGCTGTTTTCATCGTCTGGGAACAGCTCTTCCGTTTTTCTACAGATACAGATCATTAATAATATTATTAAAGTTGTTACTATTGTTGGTAGAACCTGTTACTATTATCATTATAATTATTTGGTGTACTGTTAAATAGATCACACCGAAAATTATTAAAACAAATCTAAGATCCTTCTGAGCCGGTCACGGTAGTCGAGCGGTCTAAGCCATACTATGTTTTCGCTCGCTCGGAGGCCGGGATCGTGGGTTCGAATACCATTCAAGGTATTGTTTGTTCATTGTTTGTGTATGTGCGTTTTTCTGTGTTTGTGTACAGGTAGACCACTGCTTGTCGGCGAAGTTAGTGCCAACTTTATTGGGTAGAGGGTGTCGCGTGATCAGCATAACTAATCCCCACGGCCGTTAATGTCGGTTTTCTAGACAGGAGCCCACATTTCCTTGAAATAGCTCCTCAATTATCCTCACGAGACTGAGTGAACCCCGTTCCAGACCCACTACTTCTCAGAAAATCTGTAGCCAGGAGCTCTGACCACTAGACCACAGAGGCAGTCAACACAATTGTCCTTCTGAAAAGAATGAAACTGAAGTTGTTAGAAACTGTTGCTTGGATCATCTACCGCACATCCTTTCAGGTCTGAAGGCTGAGAGCTCTGTCAGGATCAAGTGCGACTGAACTAGGTGTGGGTGTTCCAGCGTTTCCTCTCCAGAAGTCAACAGGGCAGTGAAGAGACCACAGGTACTCACGGCTATTAACCCAGCTCTCGCTGCGGCAATCCTGGAGATGAACCAGTCGCTGGAGTTAGGGCCCCAGATTCCAAGTCGGTCTCCGGGGCTGAGACCCAGCTGCAGGAGCCCTGCGGCAAGGCGATCGGCCTGAAATCGACAACAGATGGAAGACGTTGAAGTTGAGACTACATAACTGCCGAGTTGCATGTTTCATGCCCGGTAAAAGTGACTGACTGCTGTTACCGTGTAAAACAAACTGAGGAGCAACTAACATGCCTATTACTCTGTTCTGTTTTTGCAGGGAATATTGTGATACCTGAAACCTTGTTTGGATTTCTAAATCAAATGTCTTTTTTTATTCCCTCAAATCACATTCCAGAGCGTAAACAAATTTTAAACAAATAATTTTCTATTCAAATACATTTTTGTAACGTACTTCACTCACGGAGCTGAGCCCTTCTTGAGGAACCGACAATTCTGCAGCTACTCAAGAATTTTACGATAATCTTATTTCCGATAAGATTCTCTGAAATTAAGTGACTAAAGGAAACCTGTTGACTTACTGTAGAGATGAGTCCATCTTGATGACAGATAACGTGTAGTAAGATATAAGCTCTACGCTAAGTCTCTGTAGTGAGAGCAACATAACCTCGAGGAATCAGGTACAAATTAAGGCAATCGAGAATCTCTCGAGATTAATCCCGGTTTAAGTGGCAGGAGGAAGGTGAATGATAAAGGTGCTTGAAGGGGAATGGACAGGCAGTCGCAATGGAGGGCAGTGGATCTTGACCTTTATACGTGAATCAGAAAAGATTAAATTAAGGAGAAAAAGTGAAGGAGTAGGTGATGATGAAGGCACAGACTGGGAAAAAGATTATGACAAAGAAAATGTGAAAGTCAAAGAGGAGAATTCGGCAATGAGGAAAGAACGCAAATCCGACAAAGAAGAGAATGAGGAGAGAGAGCAAAATATGGAAAAAAAGAAAAATTGACACAAAGAATAACAAGAAGATTAAGATTAAGTGAGAAGACAATAAGAAACAATATTAAGAATTTAAACAAAATAACAAAACCAAAGTGTAATTTGAAGATGACAAAATAAAAACGACAGAGGTAGGAACATGTGATGATGAAAAAGAGGTGTATTTTTTTATTGCTAGTGGAGTGGGACTAAGTCCCTTGTATTGCGGCCACTTCTGGCCTATTGTACCAGCCCCAGATGATAGGTGAGGGTGATTGTGGAGCAATTGGTGGAATGAAGATTGGCAGGGGAAACCGAAGTACTCGGAGAAAACCTGCCCCAGCGCCACATTGTCAACCACAAATCCCACTTGACCAGACCCAGGATGGAACCCGGGCCGCCGCGGTGGGAAACCAGCGACTAACCGCTTGAGCTATGGCACGGCCTCATAAAGCGATGTATGACAACAAGAAAATATTATATAGAAAAATAATTAAAAGGATAAAGAATAAAATGTGAAATGAGAAGGGAAGAAAGGAGTGGGAATTAAGAAAACAAAGAAAGAATGTATATGAAGAGGAACATGGGACAGATTTGCAGTGATAAATAATATGGGAAGCAAACAAAGGAAAAAAAAAATTGAGACGAGAAATAAAATAAAGCGAGACACAACATTTAATTAAAAATAATAATAAAATCACAAAGAAAAGAAGAGGAGAGGAAATTAGAAAGTATAAATTTACGAACAAGATAAAGGAAAATAATAATAATAATAATATATATATATATGTACAAGATAAAACTATCCCTGTAACAGGACCTGGAGGCCCGTAGGGTTGTGAGACGTCGAGGCTCCCACATTTTCTGGACAACCGAATCACAGATGGCGGTGAGATTGTCAGCCTTACGCGCCAACCGCCCTTTACCTCCAAGAAGATTCCTGGTACTCATTTCTGTTAGAGGCTGAGTCGACCCCATGGCCATAGTGCGTCTGGAAGGAATAGGTTAATTGGAAATTCAATGACCTCATCGGGACTCGAACCCAAGACCTTCTGATTTGTACGTACCATAGTGCCTCAACCAACTACATTATCGCGTGCCTCCAATAAGATATATACGTATACTTTAAGGAAACAGGCGTTTTTTTTAACCAAAGAAACAATATCAAAAACACTGTAGATATATGGCCGAAGATTAGGGGTTACTTTAACCGGCGTCTTGTGATGTGACACATACACGGTAGCGCATAGGTCCTCGCGTGATGATTTGCCCTTTCTTAGAAAGGGGAACATCATCCGAAGAGCCCCAATAATTGCACAAAACGACAAATTATGTAAGAGATGGAACATTGCCCTTATTACAACAGTCAACTACCTTGTCCCTGAGTTCTCTGAATGTAAAACTGCGCCCTTCATAAAGAGATTTCACGGCTTCTTTATCGGCCCAGCGCTCGGCAGCCATGTCTACAAGTTGGCCCAGCGTAAGAGTGGACAGGGGTTCGGTCCCAACGCTATGCCAGTAACTTGGCTTCTGCTTACTGGATTCTCTGTAAAAAAAAGGGGAAATATAAATACTAGTATTAGTTTATAGCACTCCATATCGAACTGAATTACGATGTAACAACAGCTTTGGGACATGTAGCAGATCAGACGCATCGTGTGAGATTAAACTGTTCTTGTATTTATTTATATGACATGAAGGGGGCACGGGGTAGCGTGGTTGGTTGCGGCACTAGGCTAGAAGCCGGAAGGTCGCGGATTCGATACCCGATTAGGTCATTCTATTTTGTTTCAATTGACCTAATCCTTCCAGCCGCACTATGGCCATGGGGCCGACTTAGCCTCTAACAGAAATGAGTACCAGGAATTTTCCTGGGGGTTAAAGAGAGGTCGGCGCGTAAGGCTGATAATCTCACCGCCATCTGTGAGCCGATTGTCTAGAAAATGTGGGAGCCTCGACGTCTCACATTCCTATGGGCCTTCATGGCCTGGTACGGGGATAGATTTACCTTGACATGTCATGAAGGCGTATGGGGGAATGGGGGTATAGCTCAATGTATTCTTAACCTCGGTCACTTTACCTTAAGAGAAACAGCCCCTGATACGAATTGGACAGGAATTTGAGTGGGGCCCAGTGTCGGTCTTGACTGGGGTAATCTCTACTTAACACGGGAGGCTCAGTCCAAGTATCATTAGCCTGTAGATTATTCACTGTACTGACTGAGAAAAAACGAAATAATGAAGTCATTTGTCCTTCCTAGCCCCCAGTTAACCGCATTACCCTATCGCACAGGAATCCATTTGTCCGCCTCTACCCATCCAACTTCCTGCCAGAAAGCAGCCTATACATTTGTCGATCCAAAACGAAAATTCTTTAAATTGTCCCTGGGCTTTATGATGCAGCAATGTATGAAATTATTGCTTTTTTCACGACATTTTCAAGAGTGTCTGTAGCTATTTCACCATCTTCCTGTCTGCAAAGAGCCTATACACTTAAAAGATAGAAATACCGGAGCTTTCCCTATAACAGGCCGTGAAGGTCCATAGAGTTATGAGACGTTGACATTCCCACATTTTCTAGACAGTCAGCTCACAGATGGCGGTAAGGTTGTCAGCTTTACGAGCCGGCCGCCCTTTACCCTCCAAGATTATTCCTGGTACTCGTTTCTGTTAGAGGCTGAGTCGGCCCCAGGGCCATAGTGCGGCTGGAAAGATTAGGTTAATTGAAAATATCCAATTCATCGGGATTCGAACCCTCGCCCTTCCGGCTTGTAGCATAGTGCCTCAACTAACTACGCTAAATTTTCCGATCAAAAACAAAAATTCATTAAATTGTGCCTGGACTTAATGAGGAAAAACCACAAGAAAATTTCGCTTCTTTCACGATACTGTCGGTAGCTCAGACTTTTAGCTTCGAATGATCAGAATATTGGTGAATAATTTAACGTCATATTAGAGAATTTGTCTGGACAATTTAAAGGAAACGGCAGAGATCTCAGGTTAGTATGTTACTCTGTATAGAATTGAACAAGGGACCTTCGAAATAAACGTTAAAATATTTCGGCTTGAGTCAACTTGTCCTCTGCCAGGTTATGAAGACGTATGTGAGAATGAATTTCGATACTGGTTTGTGGTGAGGGCTGGGGCTCACATCCCGCCGAAGGAACTACTGCGCCCACTGGACAGGAAACCTGACGGGCTCCAGATCTGGTCTGGACACTGTTGAGAAGTGAAACATCTGTCTGAAATTCAATCCGAACTCCTCGGCCCTCGAACCCGTAACCTATTCACTATACTGACTCGGCTCCTCAGGTATTTTCTCCCTACCTGGCCTGTCTGCCGATCATTTCACTCATAATTATTAAAAATAATGACTCCATGGAGCTGAGGCCTTCTTGAGAAGCCAATATTTTATGGAGCCCGAAGGTTCATTACCGTGTTCACAAGAGCCCTCCACTGATCCCTATCCTGAGCCTAATCAACCAAATCCATACCATTCAATCCTATCTCTTTAGATCTATTTTAATATTGTTCACCCTCCTACTTGGTCTCTTTCCTTCTGCCTTTCCCACCAATAATCTTTTTCTCTAAGATCCATTTTAATATTATCCTCCGATCTATGTCTAAGTCTTCCTAGTGACCGCTTTCTTTCTGGATTTCCCTCCAATATCCTACATGCATTTCTCTTCTCCCCATGTGTGCTACATTCCCTGCCTATTTCATCCTCCTTGACTTAATCATTCTAATTATACCTGGAGAAGAGTACAAGTTATGAAGCTCCTCATTATGCAGTTTTCTCCAACTTCCTGTCACTTCATCTCTCTTCGGTCCAAATATTTTCCTCAGCACCCTGTTCTCACCCTCAGTCTATGTTCCCCCCTTAATTTCAGAGACCAAGTTTCACAACCATACAGAACCACATACAAAATTAAAGAAATATTTAATAGATATAAACTACTGCAGTTCCCCACTAGAATGTAGAGTGGATATATCGCATAATTTAATTCCAAAATCTAAATTTTCTGTTTTCTGAGGTTACAGGCCTAACCTGACCTAACCTAACCTACCTGACACTGATACTCATGTTGACTCGTTGGATGTCCCACTCGAATTGATCTGTTAGCCTTCCCAGCTTCGCTTTTGTGAAGTATCATATAACAGATCCTTCAGGCATATCGCGGAAACGTGGAATTTATGATTATGTATCATGACTAATCTAAACGTCTTTTGTATCAACTGTTTTTTAGTTGTCCTTATGCACGTGTGTGTCGTAATATCATATATTTTTTTTAAATTTGTGGAGTAAATATTTGTTCAAAAACAACGGTTAAAGTACATATCGTCATGGGAAACTGAACATTTTGCAAGAACCTACACCGGAGCCTCTGCATTATTTTGTAATTCACTAAGGCTTATATTGTTATCATTATACGCAATGCGACTTGTTATGTCCCAATTTACATAGTAACAAGCCACTTACATGACAAAGCAGGTTCTATTAAAAAAATGTAAATTACAGGTTTTAAAGAGCTCTTCTCAAATAATGAATTATTATGGAAATGACGACAGATGATGACAGAGAGACCAATATTAGTGGAACCACCCTACTTACTTACTTACTTACTTACTTACTTACTTACTTACTTACTCATGGAGCTGAGCTCTTGAGAAGCCGCCAATTCTGCAGATATTGAAGAACTGCCCAGCATCTCATGGAAACCGAAGATTCATTACCGTATTCACAAAAGCCCTAGACTGGTCCCTATCCTGAGCCAGATCAATCATATCCATACCATCCCATCCTATGTCTCTAAGAACACTTTTGCAACAGGTTACAAAAATATCTACCCCTACCACGTCATAACTCAGTCAATACGAAGACACATACATCCAACATTACAACACTCGCAGCTAAGAAGGGAACACACATCACAAGACTCAGTGAGTACTAAACATTATAATACAACACATAACGGATAGAAGCCGAAAGTAATAATAAGTACCATTTTCACGTTGCAGGTTTACGCAGAATATAAGAAAAACGACCCCCATATTGGAAGAACCACACGCAAGTTTTAATTATGACATATAAGATGAATAATCTTAACAAGTTTTAGTCTGTGTAAATTCATTATAGTTGACAAATACGCACTTTTACATACTTTTTAAATAATTTTATAATGGCAAGCAATGAAATAGATTAGCGTAATTAGGGCACCTGATGATGGCACTATGTTGCCGAAACATGTCGTGAAGTAACAGGTGAAATTGAGTGCTCTACAAGACGGCAACTATATACATATCATGGATGAAAATCAGTGCAACAGGACGCTAAAATACAACATTAAATATAATTCTTTCTAAATGTTTGCATTTGTACGTAGCATTGTCCATACACCTACGTCTTGGTCTTCCCAGTTATTTCTTTCCTCCTGTTTTTCTCACCAATATCCTAAATGCATTCCTCTTCTCCACTATTCGTGTTACATGCCCTGACCACCTCATCCAACTACTGGTAGAAATGTAACCGACAAGCAACTGCTCATATTCTCGTCCAACAAAATTTTAAAATTTATTTTATAGGGATATGTAGTTTACTTAACAATGCTGCCAGTAACTTGACCATAGAGCTTTAGGGGATTCGCGACTGCCTCAGTTGAAACGAAGCTCTTGTTATCACAGCCACCCTAATCGGTTACTACGATTCGATGTTGCCAGGCATTTTGAAATCCCCACACATTTCACCCTTAAGCGGTGTTGCAACATCGATGAAATGACGCTAGCTTCTAGAAGTGAGGTTAGGTTGCCTTCAGCCCATCTTCATTTAGGAGTATTAGTGCCATTATCGCTTACCTGGCTGTCAGTACGGTAAAGTCTAAAGTGATTAGATTAGACCCCCAAGGCATTAAAGAGGCTTATGGGCGTCAATGGCCTCCCAAACATAAATACAACCATTGAGAAACACAAACAAGTATAATGTAATAACGCTTTGCCAGGCAACAGCTCTGTAAATACGGTCCAACACGCAACAATAGACGAGGCTGTGTTTTCTATGTTGTCCGAACAGAGGTGGAACAACGGGCTTACGCAACCCGTTTCTAAGCAACGGCTCGGTAAACACACTTCCGCGTAAGTAGTAACGTCAGCAACAATAGGGACGGTGTTTTCCATGGGGTCTTTGCACAGTGCTTATAAGAGAAATAAATGCAGTGACAGAACTAGTCAAATTTGAGACAGTAAAATATGGTCGTGAGTCTCAAGGGACTCGGACTCGAGAAAGACTGCGCTGGCAAGGAAGAGCAGCGTATACAAAAGACAGGCCCGTCCTCTCGTCAGAGATGGCGCCCCACAAAAACCAAGACCGTAACTGTCAAACAGTAATAAATATCTGGTCATGAGCCCCATATGGGGCTCAATACAAAGACTTACCAACTGACTGACCGTCAGTCGCAATGTGACTTTGACAGAGATAGTTCAAGGGCAGTTACGGGTAAGTCGTAAGCTGGAACAGTGAGTCCAGAAGAATTTCTATTTCCGAGGATCCAGAGTGACTGAAGAAGAAATAGCGAGGAGACTTTATAGTGATTTGAAATTCTAGTTTCTGTGTTGAGATCCGTTGCTAGGATACGACTAGTGTAGACCGAGAATTCTAGTGCGTGTGCAGCGGTGAACTGGAAAGTGTGCAAATCAGGGATAGCGCTGTATTCAGTGTGATTAAGAGAACTTGTAATCAAGGTGCTACTAAATCCTGTCACCCGAACTACAACCCATTATTTTCGTCACGCGTAACCCCCTATATGTGACAATATAAAAATAAACACTACCGATGAAAACTAATAGGAAAATTAATCATATTAAGTAAGGAACTTAAACAAAGGCAGTGGAGTCCAGTGAATGCTGAGTCTGTAAGCTCTTCATCTGAAAAGTCAGATTCAGAACTGGTATATAAATGGGAAGATAATAAAACCTCTCAAATTAAAGAAAAACACAGTCAGAATTATACGTGTAAAATAGCCAACTCAGCCTCGTGATACAGTCCCCTGGCAATAAGAAAGTGTTACAGTGGTTGCAGATGTACACCGCCCCCAAGGAAGAACTGAAGCTGTGGGGCAAGGTGCACAGAAACCTCATTATCTGCAAGAGCCTCTTCTGAACCACCTAACCTACATGGGATTGCAGAAAATAATGACTTCATTGTCATTACCCCCAAAAGGAAACAAAATGAAACAAAAGAAAAGCCAACCATAACAGAAACCGCCATTAATACAGCTTTGCTATTCTCTACCGCACCTGAGAGTCGGGTTTCTGGTAGCTCAGAGCACAAGAAGAACAAATTCCTAACGGCACCCACACGGTTGCCGGTGACATGACCAGACTTAACAAAGATTTTCACTCAAAATTCCAGCCTTTAGGCTTCACAATTTATAGAATGAAAGCCGGCATATCATGTCAGACTTCAACGTAGCAAGATTACCTCCATTTGCAAAGCTTCTTAATTTCATTAAGCACAACAATTGGCTGCGCCATAGCTCAAGCCGTTAGTCGCTGGATTTCCACCACGGCGGCCGGGGTTCGATCCTGCGTCTGGTCAAGTTGCATTTGTGGTGGACAAAGTGGCGCTGAGGTAGGTTTTCTCCGAGTACTTCGGTTTCCCCTGCTAATCTTCATTCCACCAATTGCTCCACAATCACCCTCACCTATCATCTGGGGCTGGTACAATAGGCCAGAAGTGGCCGCAGTACAAGGGACTTAGTCCCATCCCACTAGCAATAAAAAAAGAAAGCACAAAGATTCCAAGCCGTACAGGGTGGTTATCAAAGACATCCCTCCTACCACCGCTCCTAAAGCCATCCAGGATCAACTTGGTGTACTTTCCCGTTGGTTGGCAGTCCAGAACGTCATCCCAGTGATCACGTGGAAAGACAGAAGGCCTCTGCCTATGCACGTAATTGAGCTAGACAACGTTCCACAGAGCCAGAAGATTTTGCAGTTGTTCCGCCTGTGTTATATCAGAATCATTTTGTGCCTTGTAAGGGACGCGCCGTGCCGCCTCAGTGCGCACGATGTCAGCAAACTTTTCACGTGACTGCAAACTGTCAGGCCCCTCAGGTTTCCGCACACATTGCTCGTGGAATTGCGAGAAAAAAAATCGAAACGAAACTACAGCCAACCTGCGCTCTGTGCAAAACCGTGAGATCACAGCTTGGCCCTCATGGAGAAGGGGATGAAGAACGAGCCTCAGTCTTAAAAGCTAAATGCCAAACCAAATAATCGGCAGTCTTTCAATTGGGACAGAGCGAGAGGCTCAGTTTAGTCTATGTATCTACCCGCAACATTTCCCTCAAAAACCCTTCACGACTATCCGAGCCCCGGAAACGCTTGGAGCACGCTTCTGAATTTTGCCGCTTTCCTCCCCTCTTCTTCCTCTCTTCCTCGTCCCTTCTTCCTCTTTTCCTCCTCCCTTCCTCCTCCCTTCTTCCTCTCTTCTTCCTCTCTTCATCCTTCCTTCCTCCTCTCTTCCACCTCTCTTCTTCCTCCCTTCCTCCTCTTTTCCGCCTCCATTCCTCCTCTCTTCCTCCTTCCTTCCTCCTCTCTTCCGCCTCTCTTCTTCCTCTCTTCCTCCTCTTTTCCGCCTCCCTTCCTCCTCTGTTCTTCCTCTCTTCCACCTCACTTCTTCCTCCCTTCCTCCTCTTTTCCTCCTCCCGTCCTCCTCTCTTCCACCTCTCTTCCTCCTCCCTTCCTCCTAACCAAACAACCAGAGACATCTAATTAGAATGATCAAGTCAAGGAGGATGAGATGAGCTAGGCATGTAGCACGTATAGAAAGCAGAGCAATACATATGAGATTTTGGTAGGAAAGTCAGAAGGAAAGAGACCACTAGGAATACCCAGACATATGTGGAAGGATAATAAATCTTAAATAGGATAAAACAGTACGAATTGGATTTATCTGGCTTAGGATAGGAATCAGTGAGTGACACTTGTGAACACGATAATGAGCCTTCTGGTTCCGTGAAATGTTGTGAATTTCTTGAGTAGCTGCACAATTGGCGGCTTCTGAAGACGGGCTCAGCTCCTTGAAGTCAGTTAATGTGTGAACAGTCGGCCTACTTAACCTGCTTTCACACACCTCACCCGGACCTTCGACAATAATGTGTAATCCAGCCC